AAGAATTAGGTCACAAGTAGAGTTCTAACTGAAATTGAATGACATTTTCACTGATCCCAAACAGCTTCATTCTTCAACACCAATATTTTTATGATGATGGTATATGTCTCTGAAATAGAACAGTGATCCCATAATCAGATGTGTCTGGATATAAGTAGGCTATAGCATATTAGTAGTAATGACTTGCACTCAAGAAGTGACATAGAATAAATAATGTCAAGGACATGTGTTAGAAGCGGGGGGAGGAGGTGCACTAGGTATGTAATGAGAATGAGAGAAATCAGATGGGCAGAGTCCAAAAAGAAACAGTAGAATGTCTTCAGTTCATTGGATTGGTCCCTATTGAGGGGATTTATAGAAACAGTGACAAAAATAACAAGATGAGAAATCATGGAAGGAATTGCAATCTAAAATAGAGTAGGGAAAATACACATTCGTGATGTCTAAAATTCATCTAAGTACTATTATTGCAAAAATGTTGAGTAGAACAAAAGAAAAAAAAAACCACTCTGGCAGACTAATACTACTGTTGAATCCTGTCATTCAACAAATTCTTGACCTGCATAACTGAAGTATTATCCAATCTACACCTCTCTCTTGTCTTCAGTGGTATTGTTATGTGAGACTGTCAGATGTTTTGCTGAAATCAAGTAAAATGTAGTGGAAAGAGTGCTGAATGTGAAGTTCAAAAACTTGTTTTCAAATCTGGGCTCTGGCATTTAATAATTTTATGACCTTGGACAAATCATTTATCCTCTCTGAGACTCATTTTACTTATGTGTAAAATAGAAATAAGAGTACTTACATTATTCACCACATCTAATTGTTGAGGTAATTAAAGTAATGTGTAAAGTGTTTTGTAAACTTTAAAATGTAAGCTATTATATACTTTGTCCCTACCACACATCGAGTAGTAGCAGTAACTCTCAAAAAAAAGGAAATGAAATTAGTCTTCCATAGCTTATTCTTAATGAACTGCTAACTTCCTCCCCTCTTTAGTAATGCTTTCACCACTTTCTAAATGCTCTCCAATTGTTCTTTTAATAATCTATGTTGAGTTTTACCAGGAAATTTACATCAGTTTCACTGTTTCATAGTATCTCTCCCCCTCTTTTTTTTGAAATTCAGGGTTATGTTTGCCTTTCTCCAGTTTTAGGGCACTTCATTCATTCACCATGATTTCTCAGAGTTCGCTGACATAAGTTAAGCAGTGTGTTCAAGTTCTTTCAGTGGTGTCCTTGAATGTATTTTGTTCATGCCCAGTGGCTTGAGCCTAAAATTAGACCTAGTAGGGTTCTCTTTTCCATCCCACTTACCTTGGGTTGCCATTCCCCTCCTCCTCTTTTTTTTTTAATCTTCTCAGGTTTTTTAATCTTCTCAATCTTTGGGAGAGAAAACTGAGGCAAAATGGGACCTAACCTAGTGGCTCTTTTTCAGAAGCCTTTCTCTTTGACACTTACGCAGCATCTATTATGATTGACCAATTTCTTCCTTCTTTGAACTCTTTCTCTTTTTCCTTGATGTTCTGCTTTTCTTCCAGTTTATTTCTTTTTAGTTTTCTTCACTTTTTCCATTATCTCCCCTGGTACTATGAATGTAGTCATTTCCTAATGCTTTGTTTTCTGTTTCTTTATGCTGTTTCCCTTGGTAATCTTGTCTACTTTTATGGCTTCAACTCTCCAGTCATACTGACCTACTTGTTGCTTCTCAGACTTAGTATTCCGCCTTCTGCCACAATTAAGTTTTTTCCTCAGGCTGTCTTGAATTCATGAAATACATTTCTTCCTTATCTTTACTTCCTCTTGCCCCACCCCTTAAATCCTTAAATTGATTCTACACATAGCTGCCACATTAGTTTTCTTGATTGGCACATTGTTGGATTATAAAACTAAAATTCTCAGAAGTATCTCCAATGGCTCCCATTTGCCCATAAAATAAGGACTAAGCATTTAGCTGGATATTCAAGGTTTTCCGTGTTTTGGTTTCAGTTTATCCTTCCCATTTTACTATAGTACCTTTCATGTACTTTATGTTTAAGAACTGAAATATTAACTGTTCTGGGGCATGTGTGAATCCCTCTGTGCCTTCCCTAATGCCAATCAGTTATTCAGCAAATATTTACTAAGCCTTGTGATTCAGGCATTGTGTTGAGGGTTTAGGAGACAATGGAGCTTAAATTCCAGTGGGAGAGGCAACATGGGTGTGTAATGAGATGGAGTAGATACAAAGTAACTTTAGGGAAGAGATGAGCTGCTGGAGAGACCAGCTGAGTGTTTAAGGAACCCAGGGATTCTTAGGTGAGATTCCAGGCCTAGGGACATAAATGCAAAGGTAGGGAGATTGAGCACCATGTGTGAGGAACCACAAGTAGGCCAGTATGGCTAGTTTGTAGAATGTGTATAAAGATTTGCATATTGAGTTGTTTATGCTAGTTTGTGAAGAGCTTTAATGCCAAACAGTTTATACTGGTCCTAGAAGTAACAGTAAGCTACTGGAGTTTACTGAGTTGGGGGAAAGAGGGGAGGGTCACATGGTCAGGCTTGCACTTTAGAAAAATCACTTTGATAGCTGTTTCGAGGATGGGTGTATTTCAGTAGGAGAGGGGAAAGATGAATAATTGAACTAGCGATTGTGGCACTAGAAATGACAGTATCAGATAGTTGATTGAATGTGTTGGGTAAGTGAGATGAAGAGTTGAGATTACACACTTGGGGTTGACTAGAATGGTGGTGGTGCCCTTGGATTATACTAGGGAAGTTTGGAAGAAGAATATGTTGCAGGGGTGTGTAGATGATGAGTTCTGCTTTGGACACACTGAGTTTCAGATGCCTTTGGACCATTGTTTAAAAATGTACATTAAGTAATTGGTAATGCAGGACTGGAGCTTAGGACAAGAGTCTAGAGCTGGGTATGAAGATCAGTGTCATCTACATAGAAATACTAATAGAACCCAGAGAAGGTGAAGGGATGAACGGGTGCCAGAGTATGGAGGGAATATAGAAGGCCCAAGACAGAGTTTTGTCAGCATGCATAGTTAGTGGTTGTGATGTAGATGATAATCCAGCAAAGGAACGAGAAGTGGTCAGGCCAGTGAGATGTGTTTTGGGGAAAATTCCATCAAATTTTATTGAGTACTCTGTGTGTGTGTGTGTGTGTGTGTGTGTGTGTGTGTGTGTGTGTGTGACACACATGATAATTGTTGAATCGGAAACAGCATCTTTGTTAAATAACTAGTCAGGTATATCTATGAACACATCTGTGTTAGAAAAGCTGTGGTTTAACTGATTTAATATTCTTGTCAGCAAAACAGTATTATTAGGGGCTTAGCCTTGTCAATTAAACAAGATGATATTTATGGTAGCTATTACAGGGAGATTCCACTTATATTCTGTGTGTCGAGTAATGCTGCTACATGATGGCAACTTCATGAAGTTGCAGTCTTTTGGAACACTGATTGTTTTTTAACCCTTGCAGTTCAACTTTATTTCAATAATTTAAGTGATTCTTAAAACTTTTTTTGTTCCACAGTGCAAAGACCTTATCGATCATCTATCCTTAACCCACTCCCACTTGCCATTCTGTTTTTAAAAAACAAAAATACTTCACCAGGATTAATAGAAAGAATAGCATTTCATTAAAAGCAGAACAAGTGAACAATATTATAAGTATTAATTTTTTTATCAGAAAAAGTATAAAGTTGACAGTTATATAGGAAAGACAGGATGATATGATACTTTAAAGTATAGAGAATAGTGATGTTTATTCCCTTACCCATAAGTCCTGCACATAATATAGCCTTAATAAGTGTTTTGTTGAATTAAATTTTAAACACTGTCCTGAGAGGTAGAACACCCAGGTTGTAGTCATGATGATACTGGGGAAGTTATAATCAAGAGGTTGGGTTGAATTTTTCAGTCCCTTCTAACTCGAAAATTTTATGATTTCTTAGAGTGATGCCATATTAATGTCATGTAATGGGAATACATTCATAGATCAATAGCCCAAATGCTTTATTGGTTTCTTAAAGCTTCTAGGTGAACCAAGGGAAGGCCTCTAGCACAATATATTGGTCTCTAGGAAGGATTTATAGAAGGGTATGGATAAAGGGCTCTGGATGGAAATGTATGGAGAGCTACCCACACTGATAAGATCATAAATCCTTCAAGTCATAATATAGGAGATTACCTGGGAGAATTCTTGATTAACAGTTGACAGATTTGTATATTTGTTTTACTAGTAAAAGAGGGCAATAGGAGACAAAATTATAACTGGGAGGAGGGGACTGGATGTATGTGGTATTTGAAAATTGGTGGTGAAGTTCTAAGTAAACTCTAGCAAGGTCATGTTAGTGGCCATTTTCACATCTTTGTTAGTGCTTTATACCTTGGATTTAGTGAAGTTATATAGCAAGGCAGCATTGAATAGTGGATAGAGGACTGGCGTCAGAGTGAGGAAGCCCTGGGTTCATGGCTTACTTCTAGACACACAGTGCTTGTATGACTATAGACAAGTCATTTAACATTTTTTTTTTGGCAAGGCAATTTGGGTTAAGTAACTTGCCCAGAGTCACACAGCTAGTAAGTGTTATGTGTCTGAGGTTGGATTTGAACTCAGGTCCTCCTGACCCCAGGGCCTGTGTTCTATCCACTGCGCCCACTTACCTGCCTCTAAGTCATTTAACATTTAAGGACTCCAGACAACTCTCATAATACTTAAGTTGCTGAATAGTTTGCCCATTTGCATTGGTGGAGGGAATTTACTTACCAGAAATCACCTACACTAATGAAATCTTAGATCTAGACTAACAAAACAAAGCACATACTTTTAAACATTCTAAATTTTAAAAGTTTGAAAACAGATTTATATTGATTTGAATAATGTCTCATTCTGCTGTCCAGTTATAAAAGTTTAAGATTTGGAAACAGAGTAAAGAATAGGGATCTAGTTATGTTTAATAATCAGAAAAGAAACAAAACTAATGGATTGTGTTTTTGTTTTAGATCTCTTTGGTGAATAACTTTTTGAAGTTTGGGTTAAATGAACTTAAGCTGTGCTTCCGAGTAAGACTCACTAAATACCTCTATGAGGAATATCTCCAGTAAGTGATAACCTGTTTTACTCCTATTTTAAGCTACCATGCAATTAAATTAAACAGTTATGTCTAATTCATATCAATTGAGATTTGTTTTTATTATTATATTTTTCAAGAAAAACGTTCTCAGAAACAGCATTATGCAGAACAATACATTGCATTAGCATTGCACCAAGAGTCAAGAGACTCCAGTGCTGCATCCAACCTGCCATTGCCCAGCTGTGTGACCTTGGTCAAGTTTGTTCACCTTTCTTGGCCTCAGTTTTCCTTATCTATAAAATGAATGGATTGGATGAGATAATCTTCAAGGCCTTCTCAAGTTCCAGCGTTTTGTTTTTCTTTGGTTATATTTGAGTTTGGGAAAATAAAATGTTTTTGCTTTTTTGTTCTTTTTAAGTCTTTGTCTTCCTGTTGTTTCAGAGCTTTCACTTATTATAAAATGGGAAATCTGGATAATAGAATAGCTAATCCAGACCAGCTGCTTACACAGGATGTGGAAAAGTTTTGTAACAGTGTAGTAGATCTCTACTCAAACCTTAGTAAGGTAAGATTCTGAAATAAGTTTTAAACTTTGTAATTTCTGTTGCTGAACTATGTAGTTCTTAGTGAATTTAATGTTCTACAGCAGCAAATTAGTATTTAAATGTTTTTATGTGACATAGTTGTAGTAAGATGAAATCACTGTATGAGGAGTTTCAAATTAAAATTTGAACTAGTGTTTAATCCTTTTATTTTGATTTTTAAAACCACCATTTTCTCTTTTTTTAATATAAATTTATTTATTTTTAGTTTTCAACATTTACTTCCACAAGATTTTGAGTTCCAAATTTTCTCCCCATCTCATCCCTCCCCCCAACCCAAGATGGCATGCATTCTGAATACATCTTCCCCTAGTCTGCCCTCTCTTCTTTCTCTTATCCCCTTCCCCTTCTGTTTTCCTGTTGGGCAGGATAGACTTCTGTACCCCATTTCCTGTATTTCTTATTTCCCAGTTGCATGTGAAAACATATTTTTTTAAACATATGTTTTTAAAACTTTGGGTTCCAAATTTTCTCCCTTCCTCCCTCCCTACCCACCTTTATTGAAAAGGCAAGCAACTCAGTATAGGTTATACATGTGCAGTTATGCAGAACACTTCCATAGTAGACATGTGAAAAACTCTGTTTCCCTTAATCCTATACTGCCCCCTTATTTATTCTATTCTTTCTTTTGACCCCATCCCTCTGAAGTATTTGCTTCTGATTACCCCCTTTCCCAATCTGCCCTCCTCTCTATCATCTGCCTGCTCTCTTGTCACCTTCTCCCCGTATTTTCCTGTAGGATAAGACAGATTTCCATACTCAATTGAACATGTATGTTATTCCCTCCCTAAGCCAAATCTGATGAGAATAAGATTCACTCATTCCCGCTCGCCTTCCCCCGTTTCCCCTGCACTATAAGAGCCTTTTCTTTTCTGTTTTTTTGTGAGATAATTTACCCTGTTCTACCTCTCCCTTTCTTCTTCTCCTAGTATAATCCTCTCTCATTCTTAATTTTATTCTCCAGATATGACTCCTTAAACTGTATCTCACCTTGTGCCCTCTATCTGTCTGTCTATATGTCTGTCTATCTGTCTCTCTGTCTGTCTATACATACATATAATTTTTTCCCTCCAACTATCCTAATACTGACAAAGGTCTCATGAGTTATAAATATCATTTTTCCATGCAGGAATGTAAACAGTTCAACCTTAATAAGTCTCTTATGATTTCTCTTTCCTGTTTACCTCTTCATGTTCCACTTGAGTCTTGTATTTGAAAGTCAGATTTTCTGTTCAGCTCTGGTCTTTTCATCAAGAATGCTTGAAAGTCCTCTATTTCACTAAATGACCATTTTTCCCCCTGAAGGATTATGCTCAGTTTTGCTGGGTAGGTGATTCTTGATTGTAATCCTATCTCCTTTGCCCTCTGGAATATTATATTCCATGCCCTGCAGTCCTTTAATGTAGAAGCTGCTAAATCTTGTGTTATCCTGATTGTGTTTCCACATACTTGAATTGTTTCTTTCTGGCAGCTTGTAATATTTTCTCCTTGACCTGGGAACTCTGGAATTTGGCTACAATATTCCTAGGAGTTTTCCTTTGGGGATCTCTTTCAGGAGGAGATGTGGATTCTTTCAATTTCTATTTTGCCCTCTGGTTCTATCAGGCAGTTTTCCTTGATAATTTCTTGAAAGATGATGTCTAGGCTCTTTTTTTGATCATGGCTTTCAGATAGTCCAATAATTTTTAAATTCTCTCTCCTGGATCTATTTTCCAGGTCAGTTGTTTTTCCAATGAGATGTTTCACATTGTTTTCTAATTTTTCATTCTTTTGGATTTGTTTTACAGTATCTTGATTTCTCATAAAGTCACTGCTTCCAATTGCTCTATTCTAATTTTTAAGGAAGTATTTTCTTCAGTAATCTTTTGGACTTCCTTTTCCATTTGGCCAATTTTTTTTTTAGGGCATTTTTCTCCTCATTGGCTTTTTGGATCTCTTTTGCCATTTGGGTTAGGCTATTTTTTAAGGTGTTATTTTCTTCAGTATTTTTTTGGGTCTCCTTTAGCAAGCTGTTGACTTGTTTTTCATGATTTTCTTGCATCACTCTCATTTCTCTCCCCAGTTTTTCCTCTACTTCTCTTACTTGCTTCTCAAAAATCTCTTTTGAGCTCTTCCAAGGCCTGGGACTGATTCATATTTTTCTTGGAAGCTTTGAATGTAGGAGCTTTGACTTTGTTGTCTTCTTCTGGTTGTATATTTTGATCTTCTTTTTCACCAAAGTAAGGTAATATAGTCTGACTCTTTTTGTGCTGCTTGCCCATGATCCCAGTCAATTACTTGAGTTTTAAACTCTTTGTTAAGGTCTGCTTCCAGTGTGGAGAATGTACTGTCCCAAGCTTCAGGGGTTTGTACAGCTGTTTTCAGAGATACTTGTAGGGACCTATAAATTTTCAATTCTTCCAGGGTAATAAGGGGCGAGGGGTTTGCTCCTTTCTTGGCCTGTGCTCTGGTCTATTAGTGACCACAAGCACTCCTTTCTGTCCTGGAACTGTGAGGAGGGTTTCCTCCTGACAGCCACTACAAGCTCCACCACACCAACGCTCCTCCTCGCCCCAGGACTGCTGTCCAGATCTGTGACCTGGATCCAAGCACAGGCAGAGCAAGAGATTCCTGCCTCAGCACCGGCAAAGAGATCCCTGCAATCCCCCTTTGATCAGCCACTTGATTCCCCCTCAGCCTGTGGGCTGGAAGCTCAGGAGGCAGCTGCCTCCCCGGGGCCATGCTCTAGGGGAACTGGAGCTGAAACCCTGAGCTCCTTTCTCAGCACCGCAGAAACAGACTTTTCCCACTGACCTTCTCAGTTGTCTTTTTCATTCGTGGGTTGAGAAGTCTGGAAACCACCACAGCTGCTGCGATTCAGTCCTCTCAGGCCTGCTCCAGGTTCACTGAGGCCTGTGTGCCCATGCCGAACTGCGCTCCTCTGCCAGCCCGGCACGATACACCTTTCTGATCATTCATCCACGTTGTCTTGGGCTGGAAATTTGCTTTACTCTGTCTTTTTGTGGTTTCTGCTGCTTTAGAATTTGTTTAGAGCCACTTTTTACAGGTATTTGGAGGGGTTTGGGGGAGAGCTCAAGCAAGTCACTGCTTTCACTCTGTCATCTTGGCTCCGCCTCCAAAAACACCATTTTCAAAGAAGGTTTTTTGCCACATATATCTAAAGTACTTTTGCTTCTTATAGATATTTACCTTCCAGGTTAATTCATAAGTTAAATTTTTGGAAGCAGTTTTCTAAACCGTTAAAATTTTGAAATTTAAGTTCTTGGAATTATATGCTTTCCATAAAAGATTATATATTAGCTATATAAAGCTGTTTGCCAGCTTTCTTGGTTTCATTCGTAGAGCTACAACGCAAGTTTAGGACTCAGTTGCCTCATAATTACATTAATGCAGTAATTTCTTTACTGGATCTACTTTCTGTTTAGTCTAATTTTTTGTCTTTCATTTAATGGCAAAAATTATATTTGTTAAAAATATTGTTTAATTATCAATTGATAAGTCATAACTACACAGTTCTCTTCCTAATTTTGCAGTAATGTCTAACTCTGCATCAAATAAAAGATGGGCTTCAAAATCTTCTGCCATTTATTATACAGCTTAATCTCATCTCAGTGACCTACCCTCACTCATCTTCTTTCTAGTCCTAGTCTACCATCTCTCTGAGTAATTTAAAAACTGGTTTGTAATTACCTATGCTCTACTTTCTCTCCATATCTCTCTTTAAACCATATTTCCCTTGTTAGGAATACATCTCTTTAGCAAACTCTGCTCAGGATTTATCTCCCCCAAATCCTTTCTTGAACTGACTTAAAACTTTAGTATTAGAATACACTAATAATTCACCCTTGCCTCCTCTGACCATGTGTATTCTGATATAGTTCATGTATATATGTAATATGTATTATTATGACAGTCTTTATATGTCCTTGTGTATTCTTTAAACATTTGTCACCACTTTGATTATTGTTGGGAATAGTTTTTAGCAGATTGACTAATATAGTCACATGTATCTTTTTTTTTTGGTAATGCATGGGAAAGCAGAATAAATCTTAACTCCTCTTCTGTGACATCCTTTCAGATACTTAAAGTTGCTATCATGTCCTTATATAATTATATAATTTCTCCTCAAATTAAATATCCATTGTAATTTTCAAAATCATATCATATGATTTTGAGATGTTTCCCCATCCTGGTTGCTTATTTCTGCATACCATCCAGCTTATTTACATCCTTTTCCAGTTTGTCTGAACAGGGTTGAGTGTAGTGGGACTCTTCCTTCTCTCTTTCTGGGCATTGTGCCTCTTTTAATGTATTAAAATTTTCCATTAGCTTTTTTTGGTTAAACATTTCACTTTCAGATGAATTGATATCTTGCCATCATTCTTCCATCTTGTACTTGTGAAGTTGATTTTTTGAAGATTCTACATTTATCCGTACTGAATTTAGTCATTTTAGATTCAGCCCAGTGCTCAATTTTGTTAAGACATATTTGAATCCCACTTCTGTCATTTAATATATATTAACTCTCCTCACCAATTTTGCATCAGCTGCTAATTTAATAAGTATACCACCTATGCCTTTATGGAAGTCATTGGTAAAAATATTCAACAGCTTACAGTCAAGCTATTGGTGTAGAGACAGAGGTCACTGGGACAGTATGTGAAAGATTGCCTTTCACGTTGACCATATGTCCATCTGGTGATTCAGCCACTTCTGAATCCACCTAACTATTCTTTTGTCTAGCTCACATCTCTCCAACTTGTCCTCATGAGAGACTGTCAGATACTACCGATACCATGCTAAAATGTAGGTAAACTACCTATAGTTCCTTGATCACTAATCTAGTAACTGTCAGAAAAAGAGATAAGTCCAGTATGGCACAAGCCATACTGGTTCTCTGGTATCACTTTTATGGATATTAGCTAACTATCATTTTAATAATACAATCTAGACCTTAGTAGTATGTCCTGGAAATTTTTCCAGTAAAACTGAGGCAAATAACTTGCTTCAAAATGGCAAGAACGAGGACTAGAATTCAGGACTACAGATTCCTAGACTAAATCATTTCTACCCATTTGGGTCTTATTAATTTATCAAATTGTTTATCATGATAAAAATAATAAATGTGCCTTTTTTTCCCTGTTAGTGGATGTTAACCCTTTGTTCAGTCTTTAATGAACCTTGTTTTATCTTCTCTTATTACATTGTAATTTAAGGACAGGAACTATACATTTCACCATTGTAATTCCTTTTCTTATTATAGTTTTATACATATTAGATTGCTATACATGTTGACAGTTTTACATTGAATGCTAAACGAAAGTAAATATTTTCTCAATTATTCAGCTACTCATCCAGATAATGTGTTCTAATGATAATTTTTATTTTACAGCCATTTTTAGATATAGTTTTGTATATCTTCAAGTTAACAAGTGCAATTGGAGCTCAGGTAAGTTTGAGTTGTAACCTGATATTACTTATTGTATTTTATTATAGATTCTTTAGTGGTCTGAGTAAGCGAATGTACATTTCAGAGTACCTAGATTGCACCCAGGGATTGTAATGTAGTAGTGGTGGAATCCTAGTAATAGCTGCGTGGCCCTGCAGTTATAAAGATCCTTGGATTTAACTTTTAATGCCACAAGACTAGCAGTCAAATATGTGTTCACATTTGAGGGTTATATTAGTAAGAACTGTGAACACAAATGAAAAGCAGCAGCTGTCTTTTCAGAGTAATTTCTGAATAAAGATTTTTGGAAAGATCGTATTGCTATGAGAATTTCAAATGCTGAATTTTTAATATTACTTGTTGAATATTTCCAAATGGCTTTCACAGTCTTTCAGAACATTAAAAACCATTTAGCCTGCCTTTTACCCAGAGGACAACTTACCTTGTATATCCTGGCCTCATTGTTCTTTGTACTGTTTGATAGCATGAACTTTTGAACGTTGAAGAATTTAGCATTAAAGTTTAGCTTTAATTAGCTCAATGTGTAATGGTATTGGGTTACAAGAAAACAATAAACTAATATACTTCATAATGTTTTACTTGTTTGTATTATACTTGTGATCCAAGGAAATGCTGGGAATGAAATCTTGAATCTCATGTAGACTTTGCTTTTTGTTTCTAATGCCTTGCTTTCCCTGGCGACCATATTTAATTTCTTTCTCTTCAGTTTAAGAGAAAGTAGTAGCCATTTTTAGTAGCCATTTAAAATTCTTATTGACATTTAAAATTTTTACATTCTGCATCACCTATATTTCCCACAATGACCAACCCTTATAATAAAAAATGGAAAAAAGGAGAAAAAAAAATCAAAAGTAACCAATATATTGAAAAAATCTGTAGTTATATGTATTTTTCTACATCTGTGATCCCCCACTGTATAAAGAAGTGAGGGGGAGATATTTTCTTTGGGGTCATTGTTTATTATAATTTCAGTTTTCTGTTTTGATTAGTTTATTATTGTTTTCATTTTCATTGTTGTAGTCATTGTGTTGTGTTTTTTTCCTTTTTCTGCTTATTTCATTTTACATCCATTCTTATGTCTTTCCATACTTTCTGTTTTCCTCATATTTATTGTTTCTTGCAGTACAATAATATTCTAATATATTCAAGTAGCACTTTGTTTAGCCATTCCCCAATCATTAGGCAACTTAAAAATTGTTACTGGAGGGGGCAGCTAGGTGGCACAGTGAATAAGAGTTCTGGCCTTGGATTCAGGAGGACCTGAGTTCAAATCCAGCCTCAGACACTTAACACTTACTTGCTGTGTGACCCTGGGCAAGTCACTTAACCCCAATTGCCTCACCAAAAGCAAAAAAACCCCAATTTTGTTACTGGTGACTATACATAAAAACTTTATGTTTATATGATTTTAAGGTAAAAAATGTAAATTTGAATAATACTTAATTTTTTGGATATGGATTATCTATTTAACTTTTAGCATAAACATGGGTAACTCAAAATTTTAGTTGTCAACAAAAATTAACCATTATTATTTTGCCATTATTATTTTCTCCTTTCTACCTAGTCCCAGTAACCACTTTTAAAGTCATTGTAGGTGGTAACTTCAGATTTGTGCAGTAGTTTTCTTCTAGTGAAAATATCATGATTTTTTTTTTTAGTGTTTATATTTTTCCCTGACAATTACAGGGACCGGCTAGTATGATGGCCTATTTGGTTGTCTCAGGCTTTTTCCTGACCCGCCTCAGGAGACCCATTGGTAAGATGACAATAACTGAACAAAAATATGAAGGAGAATATAGATATGTCAATTCTCGGCTCATCACAAACAGGTAAATGGAATTTTTGATTAAAGATATGATAAATGCATCTTTACAAATGTAGTTGGAAAAGAACAAGACCAAAGATGACTGATAAACTGCTTATTGAGAATTTTAAAAAATTTTTTAGCCTGTTACTGAGATTTTAGAGAGCCTTTCAAATTCCCTAGTACTATTTAATGTGTAGTACCCCTGACAGTGACTTCCATATCTTACATAGTTAAAGTTAATTTTCATTTCTTAAGTGATATCAAATTAACAAGCATATATTAAGTGCTTACTATATGCCAAGAGCTATGCTATAAACACTGGGGATATAAATACAAATGAAAATAAAAACAGTCCTAGCCCTCAATGCACTTAAATTATTATGGAGGAAGGCAGCACGTAAAAGGTAGCTGAAAAGGGTCTTGGAGAGTGGGAAGAGGAGGTACCCTGGTGGGGGCATGGTGACGCCAAAAGTCCAGAGAGTCACCAGTGGAGCTAGGAGAGAAATGGAGACTGGCTGGCCTAGGACCTTCTTCAGGATGGAGATTCAGGGAAGAACTAACCAGTGAGATGGAGGGATCTTCCAAGGCATAGTGGCAAAGTCCTTTGCCAAGAAGATTGGTGAATATTTTTCTCATATCTTTTCTTTTAATCCAAGCTTGGTCATTGTAATTTTGAAGTATTTGATTTCAGTTATCTTGTTTTTGATGTTCTTTCCATTCTTAGGATTATATATTAAATTTACTGTTAGTATAATAGTAATACAGTGTTCTAAAGATATACAGATAACAAATTACAATAAAGTCATAGCACTTCAAGGGAAATGTTTTTATGATCTTTTCTTAGCCTGATCCATGATTTACTTTTTTATTTTCAGAATAAAATATCATTTGTAAGATAAATGAAAATTTTTCATAATTTGCTCATAATTTATCCTCTTCTCCCCTCCCCTTCCAAATTCTTTTGACTCTAAATGAGGCATGAGGAAACTACATGAGCATGTAAATCTGCTACAAGTTTTGATAAATTTTATTAATCTTGGAGATTCTAAATCTCATAATGTTCTTTCCTTCTACTTTTCATGATTTTATAAAGTTTCCTTGAAAGTGAAAGATTAATTCAGTTTAGCAAATATTTATTAAAAATTCTGTTTTTGTAAAAGAAAAAGAGGTTGAGTAGGTAGATGATTTGCAAAGTGATTGGTTCTGGTTGTACTAGCAGTTTGTCTCATTTTGAAGAATAAATACTTTTTGGTCTAGGCATAGCGAATAAGTATATATAGATGTATTTACTCATCTAGGGTTGGAGATTGCCTTGCATACCAGAGGAAATAGAAAAGAGAAAAACGTTCTTTTTAAAGGACTACTTCTTAAAATTAGTCTTTTGTTCTGATGTAGACAAAATTAATTTTGGTTAGAGAAGAATCTGCTGGTAGAAGTGATTTAACACAGCTGTATTACCTGTTTTAATGTGGAAAACAATGTATGTGGGTAAAATTTGAAGAAAATATTTTTCTTGACATTATTTCATATGGTGCCTGGACTGAATATCCAAGTAAATTCAGAAACTATGGACACTTCTCTTAGAAACTTAATTCAATATTTAGGTAGTACTGTTTTCTAATCTTAATTAGACTTTGATGAAAATTTATTGCTACTGTCAGCACTCCTTTTTGAAAAGTAAAAAATTTGGTTTAATAATTTGTAATATGTTATTGATGTCCCTGATATAATAAAAGGGGAAAAACAGATTGAGGTGCATTTTAGTGTTGATATTTCATTTGTGACTATTTGAAATAAAGTTAGGCTACCCACAATGAACAGGAACCTGCTTTCATAAACAGGAATCAAGACTTTTGCCGTAATGTTGTACAGATTGTGGATAGGTGGCCTTAGACCATAGTTGTATAGAAATGTGTTATTTTTATGAACAGATAAAAAGGATGAGGTCATTTTTCTCAAAGGTTGATAATGAATTAAGCTGCCAATAATATAATAGTCACATACTGGGTAGGCTCTTCTTAGGCACAAGAGATACATTTGAATTCATTCATACTGTGCTTTCTCTCAGGTTGAGAATATATATTAATACTCTTTTTTTTCCCCCTTTAATAGTGAAGAAATTGCCTTTTACAATGGGAATAAAAAAGAAAAGCAAACAATTCATTCAGTCTTCCGTAAACTGGTAAGAAAAAAAGAAACTATGATTGACTTATTAAAGAAAAATTTTATTACTTTGTAATTAATATATGTTATGACATATGTTGATAGTTCAGTAGATCTGCAGTCATAGGTGTGGCTAGTCCTTTCAGCAATGTAAATTACGATCTTTATATGCCCTCTCATCCTATAAAACTCTTGTCCATGTCCTCCCATAAATTATCCAGTGGTTAGGAATTGGAGATCCACCCAAAATGTTGGGGGTCTTCCTCTAGGAAGCTTGACATTGTGTGAATACAAGTGAAACAGACAGCCACCTCATCAGTTATCCCTTATTCTCTGTACATGACTGGTGTCCCTTTTGCAGGCATACATATTTATGATGATGTATTTTATGCCATTTTTCTCACAGAGACCTTCATTGGTAACGTGTTTACTACCTAGTCTAGCCCATTCTGTACTTCTTTGCTCTTTTGGTAACCTTCACCTTCAGTACTTAAGAGATTGTGGTGTCCCTTGACTCAAAACCACACAGTATCATAGATAGAATATTGTTAAAACTTTGGGCCATTGTTTCAGGGAGGTAGTTTGGAATAATTGAAAGTATTATGCTTTTAATTCCCAGGGCGTTCTAGTCCACTCTGTGGTTCAGTACTTGGATTAGCTCATTTGTCCAGTTACTGATCTGTCCAAAATATAGGTACACACACAGCCACATACAGATATGTGTATGTAGTAGTAGTCAGAAACTTCAGGCATAAAATTGGTGAACACCAGATAGCATGAAAATTGATTATTTTTAACAGAGAGGGAGGCTTAGAGACTATCTTGTCCAAGAGATTCCCCAAAACAGTCTCCCTCAGCCATATATTCAACAAGTAGTCATTCTATTTTTGCCTATGAGGCATCATCCATAGATTTAGAGGTAGAAGGGACCTTAAGTGTCATCCCCCATGACACCCCTTATAAATGAGGAATAGGGAGGTTAAAATAAACTGCCACAGGTCACACAGGTGACAAATTCGGAATTTGAATGCAGGTCTTCTGACTCCAAACTGATGTACTTTCTCCATACTCCCAGGGAATTTCTTTGGCTCTCCATACTTCAAGTATAAAGTTCCCAGAGCAGGGAGATAAGGGAGGAAGAGAAGGAAAAGGAGGAGATGATAATAGGAAAGTAGGTGGGTGAGTTGGGGAGGGGATGCTTCTTGGAAAGATTGGTAGTGGTGGATGGTGGAGCCACCTTCCTGAGCTCCTTCGTATTTGGAGTGAGGTAGGGTGTCAGCACCAGTTTTTTTTGGAGGATCTTGTCAGTGATTCTCTTGCAGTTCTTTTGGATGGAGGGTGAATTGGATCCAGTCATTCTTTCCAGGTCTAAATTTATGATCCTCAGTTCTGTGGCATAGGCATTTTAATTATTTTCTTAGCATAATTCCAAATTGCTTTCCAGAATGGTTAAATCAATTCATAGGTTCCACCAACAGAATATTGGTATGTCTTATAGGCTATAGTCTTCCTGTAGCCCTAACAACATTGATTATTCCCATCTTTTGTCATCTTTGCTGTTTTCCTGAGTGTGAGGTGAACATCCTAGCTGCTTTGATTTGTATTTCTTATTATTAGTGATTTGGAACAATCTTTCATATCATTAATAGTTCATCTGATTCATCTTTTGAAGATTGATCATTTCCCTTGACTAATCCATTGGGAAATAGCTTTCAATCTTAAATATTTGTTAGTTCTTTATGCATCTTGGATATCAGACCCTTGTCAGAGATAGTTGATGCAAGTTTTTCCCCCAGTTTTCAGCTTCCTATCTTATAGTTGAATCGATTTCATTCATCTTTTTTCATATCTGCTTATTCATAGCTTTTTAATATCATCATTTTTAAGACATGGGAAATATTAATAAATATTGTATGTTTCGCTTTTATGTTTGGCCAGGTGGAACACTTACATAATTTCATCTTATTTCGATTCTCCATGGGATTTGTTGATAGCATTATTGCCAAATGTAAGTATTTGTAAGTAATTTTTTTCTGATAGGATGAGATTTTAAAAAGAAGACATCAAGTATTTATTTTTGAACATTTTAAGTATAAATATTATGTTACAGATTTTGCCACTGTGGTTGGTTACCTGGTTGTTAGTCGTCCTTTCCTGGACTTATCACACCCTCGACATCTTAAGAGTACGCATTCAGAACTTTTGGAGGTAAACAGTTTGTGAAATAAGCCAACATAATATCTTACCTAATTAGACAATGAAGGTGAAAATAAACTTTTGTTTCTGCTTAAGGATTACTACCAAAGTGGAAGAATGCTTCTGAGAATGTCTCAAGCTCTGGGCAGAATAGTCTTGGCTGGTCGTGAAATGACCAGATTAGCTGGGTAAGGACTTGGTAATGGACGACAGCAAAAGTCTTTTTTACCTGTATATTGTTGTTGATGACACCTAGGTAATTTATTTAGCAGATATTTGTTGATTGCCAGCACAGGGGGGAATATAAAAATCTATATAAGAAATGGCAGTTCTCTTCAGGAAACTTAGTCTAATGGAGTGTGCAACACGTTTATAGAGATAACTAGGTAAGAGAGATTATGATAAATGCTGTACAAATAATTAAAACAAATTGATATGGAAATTAAAAGGAGAAAGAGATGACTTTCAGGTTGGGGGAATCAAGGTAGGCTGCAAGGTCGAAATGAGGTTTGGGCTTCAGCCTGTAAGAATGCTTGGGATCTCTATAGGTGAAAATGGGCAGGGGTAAGTACTGCTTGCAGAAGCAGCAACCTCAAGAGTGGCCTAGAAGCAGAAAAAGGCAAATCTTCCATGTGCGCAATGAAATACTTAAAACATTGGTTATCCAAGGGCAGATTTTCTTCTACCGATTGCTCTTGCTAGTCTGTTTTCACTCTTGTAACTGGTATCAGTAGTGAATGTTGCTAGGTTATGACAGTTTTTCTCTTCCATTGCAAGGAAAACAACTGTAAGTCGTTTAGTCAGCAAGTATTTATTAGGCACCTAATTCTGTAGCAGGCACAGTGCTAAGTGCTAGGGATGCAAAGAAAGTTAAAAATATCTCCCTGCTCTCAAGGAGCTCACAGTTTAATGGGAAAGAGGAAGTGTTCTAATTTCAGCTCTGCCATTTTCTAGTTACTTTGGGAAGGTCAGTTGTCCTTTCTGAGCCTATGAGTCCTCATAAGTGAAATACAAATGCTAATCCCAGCCCTGCCTATCTAAGAAAACTGTTGTACCAAATATGATACCATGTGAAAACTTTGAAAACTCAAAATCATAAATTATACAAATATATAAACTTCTTGAAAAGAGTGAGGTATATTCACTGCCACAACTTCCTCCCATGCACTCATTTCTTAACTTCTTATGCTCTAGTTGTCATCTCTAATACTGTACTAAATGTTTTCTCGCAGAGGTCACCATTATCCTCACAACCAAATTGGATGTTCTACTAGATTCCGTTTAACTGACTAGTTTACTTACAGACTTTAAGCTTCAATTAAGATAATATTTGTAAAGCACTTAGCAAGACTCTTAATAAATGCTTTTCCTGCACTGCTCCTCTCTCCCTCCTCCCCCCTTTCTTGAGGGCAGGAACTATGTCATGTCTGAACTTTAGATTGTTAACAAGACCTAGCACAGTAGTCAGTCAGTCAACAAACATTCATGAAACACATACTTTATTCCAGGCACTGCTAAGCAGTGGGAATACAAATACAAGCAAAAAGAAAAACAATCCCTGCCCTTGAGGAGCTTTCATTCTAAAGGAGGAGACAGCACATAAAATGAAGCTGAAAGTGGGCAGGGAGGAAGGTATCTGGCATGATGGAGAAATCTGGAGGAGTGTAACCTGGTGGGAAATGAAGAAATGGCCGGTCTGGGCACCCTCTTTAAATGGAAGAGTCAGAAGGAGGGCCCCAGAGGCAGAGGGTAGTGGAAGAATAGGTATCTGGGAACTCATAGAGAAGTCCAGTTAGCTGAGAAATGAGGAGACACCGCTCCATATATAATCACTTAATCATCATTGTGTTGTTTTGTTGTGACTATTTTAATAGTTATATCTGTAAAATGTTGTCTTTAGAGTATTTCACTCTGTTAACCACAATTAGGCTGTGTAGTTCCGTGAAAAGAAGTCAGAATTGAGAGTCAGGGGACGTAGGGCTGAGTCCTGGCTCTCTGTCACTTTCTACCTCTGTGTATTGCCTCAGGTCATTCACTTCTCTCTAAGCTTTAGTCTCCCCATATCTAAAGTTATGGAGTTGGCTCAGCCGGCCTCTGAGGCCCCTTTCCACTTGAACTCTGTGTGCCTTTGATGACTGTTCTTTCCTTTGACTCCTTGTGCTCCCTTGGATTCCTTGACACCTCGGTGGCCTGATTCTTTTTGTTTAGGAATAAATCATTTCCTCTTTCATTTGCTATCTCTAGAGGCAGTGCTTTTTCTGCTAGTCAGCCATCTAGCATGTATTATGTGCTTATTATGTGCCAGGAACAGTACCAAGCACTAGGGATACAAAGAAAGATTAAAAACAGTCTCTCCTCTCATGGAACTTAGAGTCTGATGGGGGAGTCTGCACACATGCAGACAGCTGTGTACAAACAACACGCACACGTACGTGCACACCCACACACATCTACATACAGGATAAATTGGGAGTAGTTTGACAAAGAAGATGCTAAGATTAACAACTGGGAAAGTCTTCTTGCCTTTGGTAAAACTTTAGCTGACACTTAAAGGAAACAATGAATCCAGGAGATGGAAGATGAGGAAGGACCGAAGCAACCATTGTTTAGGACAGTGGGGCCCTAGACAGTAGTTTCTGGTGTTGAGAAAGGTTAAGGCACCAGGAGCCTTATCTCTGATTCTGGTGGCAAGGCATGTGGGAGAAGATGGTGAGAGAATGAAGTGAATTACAGGATCAGAAACCTCACAGACCACGTCAGAAATGAGTGAATTGAGGCTCAGTTGGTTAAATAGCTTGCCAAAGGTCACGTAGGTGTAACAAAAGCTGAGATGCTCTGCCTGTAGAATCATGGCTTTTTATATAACCATACTGATTTGATACTTTTAGTTTTTAATTTTTTTTCTTTTGCTCCAATTCATAAACTTAAATTATTTTTATGAAAATGTACAAAGCTTCATGGAACTATACAAATCCAAAAATGTGATGATGTTTCTTTAATTTTTGGAAAAGTTTCACAGCTCGGATTACAGAATTAATGCAAGTACTGAAGGACTTGAATAATGGCAAATATGAACGCACAATGGTATCTCAGCAAGAGAAAGGTAAATAAAAATTAGTTCATTTATACAATTTCATATAATTAAAGATCCATCATTAACCTTTGATACTTACTTGTCATTTAAGGTACTGAAGGAGCTCAAGTCATTCCCTTGATCCCTGGTGTAGGAGAAATCATCAATTTAGATAATGTTATTAAGTATGTACAAAAAACTAAACATTATAGAGCTTTTATTGGCGCTTTTACATCATGAACTTTATAATGCCCTCCTTTCTTATGTACTTTAATGTGTTTAATACGAAGTTTTCTTGTGTGTGAATTTTCTTTGTAGGTTTGATCATGTTCCTTTAGCAACACCAAATGGAGATATCTTGATTCGTGATCTTAACTTTGAAGTAAGTTTTTATACTATCATATATAAAACAAAACCACTTAAAATATGAACTAGAAGATAAATATGAAAATTTATTATTTGGTTCCATCTCAGACACATGATGAGGTCCTGGGCGAGTCTTTCAACTTACTGAAATATCATAGTTTTAAGATATAATTTTGCTAAAATTCTATCAGACAGCTAGTTCTAACCTTTTATTAATAACATTCTTTGTTTTGACTCCAAAGATTGGAATGATGGCAAAGCTGCACTATAAATAATTTGTCACGAAGGTCACATGATATCCAATGCCAACTTCATTTTAATAGTGAATTTTATTTTCTCTCTGTCAGCTAAATGGGAAGAACACTGATTCTTTGTTGTTTCTAAATTTGTTGTGTTTATTTGCAAAATTATAATAGGTTAATAGGGCAGACTATTTTTTTTTCAGATTTTATTAGTTTATTTATTTTTAGTTTTCAACATTCAGTTCCACAAAATTTTGAGTTCCAAGTTTTCTCCCCATATTGTCCCTCCCCTCACCCCAAGATGCTGTGCATTCTGAATACTCCTTCCCCTAATCTGCCCTCCCCTTTTATCTCCCCCCACCTTATCCAACCTTCTCCTTCAGTTTTCCTGTAGGGCAGGATAGATTTCTATACCCCATTGCCTGTATATCCTATTTCCCAGTTGCATGTGAAAACAATTTTTAACATTTGTTTTTAAAACTTTGGGTTCCAAATTTTCTCCCTCCTTCCCCACCCACCCTCATTGAGAAGGCAAGCAACTCGATACTGGTTATACGTGTGTAGTCATGCAAAACACTTCCATGATGGTCATGTTGTGAAAAACTAGGTATATTTTCCCTTCATCCTATCCCACCCCCCATTTATTACATCCTCTCTTTTGACCCTGTCCCTCCTCAGAAGTGTTTGCTTCTGATTACCCTTCCCCCAGTCTGCCCACCTCTCTCTCTTGTCCCCTTCCCTAGGGCAGGCTATTTTAAGGGTTACTTTTTGCTTTATTTACATGAGCATTTTTATGTTTAATTATAGAGAAAGTGTGTCTCATCGTTACATAGATTTTTTTGTAGGAACATTAAATATAGTTTGGAATCTTGTACCAAAGGTGTACGACTATTTGGAGTCAGAGAACCTGGGCTCAGATTCCAACTCTGCTTTCATGTAGAGTACTTAGATGACCTTAGATCATAAGCCGCTTTCTTTTCCTGAGCTACTTTCCTCATCTCTAAAATGAGGTAGTTGGAGTAGAGGTCCTATAAACCCCCTTCCAGCTCTAAATCTCGTTGTTTCAGTTGGGGAAGTATTGAAGATTGTTGTCTGACCCTGGTGTAAGTAGTATTCTTCCTTAAGAAATCCAAGCAGAAAGTGCAGTGCTCTTCTTGCCAGCTGAGGGCTGCTCAAAGAGGCAGCTAGAAGCGTGGGCACTCACGAACGGATCCAAACAGAGAAGCGCAGCTCGTGAGAGAGGCCCGGAGTCTGCGTTTGTTTACTGAGGACGAGGGCAATGAGAACCTGGACTCGATTCTGTCTGAGGATAGAGAGATGGGACAAGAGCCTGTGGTCTAGAATTGGACAAAGAAAAGAGGAGCAGTGGAATGGAATCAGATGTCACCAGGTTGTTTTGAGGAGCAAATGAAAGAATATATGTGAAATTCTTTGTAAACCTCAAAGCCCTGGTATGAATGTTCTCTGTTATCTTTAAAGAGATCCCTAGCATGGAGCACACTCTTTAATACTCTCTTTTTTGTAAAGAGGGGAAAAGGAAGTGAAGAAGATGAGGTGGAAGAAATCCATAATTAGCCGTCATAATTGGATATGAATGGGATAAACTTATCCTCTTCACTCAGTAGTAGCTTAAAATTCAGCAATAAATAAACATTATCGAATGACAATTATATTTTTGTGGCAATGTAGTGACATCCCCCTAATTTGTATTTTAGGTTCGATCTGGAGCAAATGTTTTGATTTGTGGTCCAAATGGATGTGGAAAAAGTTCACTTTTTCGTGTTCTTGGTGAAGTAAGTTCAATTTAAGTTCAGAATGTACAGTTTTACCTTGTATTGCCAAACTATCAGAGTAAGTCTGAAATTTTTTTTCTCCTTTCTTTTTCAGCTGTGGCCTCTCTTTGGTGGGCGTCTGACTAAACCTGAAAGAGGAAAACTGTTTTATGTGCCCCAGGTGAGACCCTGTTAGAGTTATTTCATAGTCTATTGTTTGAAGAGCTTTTAAAAAATCACTGTCTCATTTCTGTTGACCTTTTCTTTGTCGTAAACCAGAGACCTTATATGACGCTTGGAACACTTCGAGACCAAGTGATTTATCCAGATGGGAAAGAGGACCAGAAAAGGAAGGGGATATCTGATCAGGTAAGAGCGTGTTTATAGCCTAGTCCTGCTTAAAACATCATCTTACAGATTCTTTGTCTCATTTGGCTGATTGCTTCAATAACGCTGAGGTTAGAGTATTCAGTAGGGCAAAAATTTGAGTACATGAAAATCTCTGCTTTATTCTTTTCAGTTTTGGTATCAAGTTGTTCATTCCAGTTTGTCATCTCTGTCATTCAACAAGCTTCTTATCCAAAAAAGTGACCATTTCATACTTTAATATCTCGGACTTAACTCTGAAATTGTTTAACCGTTCTAGAAATGTTATTGCTTCTTGTTTTCTCATTACCCCTACTCTTCATTTAACTGTGCACAGTAGCATTACATTCTTCTATAAGCTGCTTAACATGTTATTTTATTTTTTTTAGTTTTTAACATTCACTTCCTTAAGATTTTGAGTTTTAAATTTTCTTCCCTTCCCACTACCCCCCCTCAAGATGGCATGCAATCTGATATAGGCTCTACTTATGCATTCATATTAAACGTATTTTCCCATTAGTCATGATGTAAAGAACAATTAGAACTAATGGGAGGAACCATGAGGATGAAGCAGTAAAACAAAACAACAAAGGAAAAGGAGAGCAAATAGTATGCTTCCATCTGCATTTAGACTCCATAGTTCTTTCTCTGGATGTGGATAGCAATTTCCATCTTGAATATTTTGGAATAGTCTTCAGTCCTTGCATTGCTGAGAAGAGCTAAGTCTGTCAAAGTCAGTCATCCCACATTTCACTCTGTATCACTTCATTTAAGTTTTTCCAGGTTTTTTTGAAGTCTGCTTGCTCATCATTTCTTATAGCACAATAGTATTCCATTACATTCATATACCACAACTTGTTCAGCCATTCCCTAATTGATGGGCATCCCCTCAATTTCTAGTTCTTTGCCACCACAAAACCAACTACTATGAATATTTTTGTACGTGTGGGTCCTTTTCCCATTTTTATGATCTTTTTGGGATATAGCCCTAGAAGTGGTATTACTGGGTCAAAGGGTATGCATAATTTTATAGCCCTTTGGGCATAGTTCCAAATTGCTCTCCAAAATGGTTGGATCATTTCCCAACTCCACCAACAGTGCATTAGTGTTCCAATTTTCCTACTTCTTCTCCAACATGCTTAACATATTTTTGATGTGATAAATATTAGATAAATTGAAAATATTCTTTAAAAAAAAAACCAACTTGTGGATATCTTTGGCAATAGAAGAGTGTTCCTATTCTGTTCTTTAAAAGGGGAAAGATGGGGGGCAACTAGATGACGTAGTGGATAGAGCACAAGCCCTGGATTCAGGAGGACCTGAGTTCAAATCCAGCCTCAGACACATAACACATACTAGCTGTGTGACCCTGGGCAAGTCACTTAACCCCACTGCCTAGCCAAAAGAAAAAAAAACCCAAAAAAATAAAAGGACAAAGATGAAGTAGGCCTTAATCTGTAATAATTTTGCTCACAGGTGCTGAAGGAATACTTAGATAATGTCCAGTTGGGTCACATCTTGGAACGGGAAGGAGGCTGGGACAGTGTTCAGGACTGGATGGATGTACTCAGTGGTGGAGAAAAACAAAGAATGGCGGTATGTCTGTCTTCCAGAAAATATTGAATGAATACTTACCTATTCACTGAAAGTCACTCTTGTATAGACTAGTATTTTTATGATCAAGAATGTAAATTTTGTTTTAAGTTTTTAGGAAATTGTTTTTTACATTAATATACTTAGGAATATAAGATGACTGATGCCTGTTAATGAATAGTATGTACTTCACATGTTTGATCGGACAAAAAGAGAAACAGCAGCCCTTGAGGCTGGCACCTTGCAGGATCACTTTCTAAAAATGTTGTCAGAGGAGTTTGGCGTTAGGCTAGGTGTATACAATTATGGTGATATAACAGCCAGAATGAAAATTAATCACCTTCTTTTTCTGATTCCTTATTTTCCTTCGATCTGATGCTTGTTCTCTGACCCTTTTCCTACTCTTTCAAACTTCATTTTTTTCCTGAGTCCTATTGTTTCTGAATCTAATCTAGTACTCTACAATGACATAAAATTTTTCAAAGCCCATCCTAAATAGAGGTGTTATGTCTTAGTGGACAAAGGATGGGCTTTGCAGTAAGGAAGATTTGAGTTCAAATCCTCTCATTGACACAACTAGCTGTGACACTTAGCTTCTCAATGCCCCAGGGAATTCTCTTATAGAAGATAAAGCTGCAGATCTTCATATTTGGAAGGAGCTTCCACACGCCAATGAAATCACAGGTCTGAAACAAAGCCTCATCCTCCCCCCGCCCCACACAGAAGTGTTTGAATTTTTGATACTTAAAATCAAAAGTAAAAGAATCTGATACAATCTGTGCAGAATTTGGTGGATTCTTTTTTTTTAAAAGTATATAAAGTCCCAGTATAATAATGGTAAGTCAGATAAGCTTGACTTTTACCAAATGTGAATATATTATGATTAATGGTTTGGTGAGTCTGTTAAGATGGAGATAGATTTTAAATCAATGGCAAACTCCCATTTACATATACCAGAATTTGAGCACCTAGTTTAGAGTAGAGAGAGCAATAGCTGGAAGGATATAGAAAGAAAGCATATTTTGACCCAGTAAATGACTCAGCGTGCATTTCTGAAGTTCCTACTCTGTGCTGATCATGGCTGTGCTAAGGATACAAAGAGAGCATAGCAGCCTGTGAACATGTACAAGGGGGCTCAGGAAGTGCCTCGTGGAGGAGGTTCTGAGAGTCTGCCTTGTGTGTTTGTGAGGAACAGGACTGCTGGTGGATTGGTTGTACCAAAAAGTAAAGTACAGGCAACTTGGGGCTTTAAATGGCAAACAGAAGAGAAGGGAGAAGAGAATAAACATTTGTAAAACATCTTCTGTGCTAAGCACTTTACAAGTATTCTCTTTTGATCCTCACAACAACTCTGTGAGGTATAGGGGCTGTTATTATCCCCATTTTACAGATGAGGAAACTGAGGCAGGCAGGTCAAGTAACTTGTCCAGGTTCACATAGCTGTAAATATCTGAGGGCGGATTTGAACTTAGGTGTTCCTAACTCCAGGCCCAATTCTTGATCCACTGTGCCACCTAGCTGCTTCATAATAGTATCTGGTATTTATATATCACTTTACAAATATCTCAGGTTACCATCTCATAACCCTGGGAGGTAGGTAAAATTATTATCCCCATTTTACAGATGAAGAAACTGAAGTAGAGATCAAGTGACTTGCCCAGGTTTACATAGTATCTGAAGGCATATTTGAACTCCAGGCGTTCCTGACTCCAGGTCCAGCACTATCTACTGTGCCAAATCCTAGAGGCAATAAGGTGTTATTGGAGCTTATTGAGAAGGTGAATGAAATGGTCAGCCTGTGTTTTAGGACTATCACTTTTTCAGTTGTCTGGGCTATAGATTTGAGAGGAGAGAGACTTGAGGCAGAGATCCAATTAAAAAGCTGTTTGATAATCCAGCAAGACCTGATGAGGGCCTGAACGAGAGGAGTGGCTTGTGTGAGCAGAGAGAAGGGAACGGATTAGAGAGATGCTGTGGAGGTAAAAGAGTTGGCAAGTGAATGGGTATGTGAGATGAAGGAGAGTAGGGAGTCAAAGGTAACTGAGGTTGTGAACCCTGGGTACCTGGAAAAGGAAACTACCCTATTTTTTATCACCATTATCCATCTATTATTTACCATGCCTACCTACAACTCTGTTCTCCTTTTTTGTATATCCCAATTTCCTGATCATATGTGATGAGTTCATTTGCCCTTCCCCCAAAAGAAGATGGTCTGTTCAAGTTATAATCTGAACCTATGATGTGGTATGTGCCTATCTAATAAAACATGAGCAAATTAATTGTTTTTGATTTCTGATTAGCATGATAGGTCATATAGATGAGAAGACAGGCAAGTATTAGCAACTAAAAGTGGTAGCTTATTTGAGGGATATCTTTGGGATTATTAGGTTTAGCAAAAAGAAGTCTGAAATTTTTGTTTTAAAGGTGACTTCGTGCATATAAAAGCAAATTAAAATTGTCATGAATGATGTTGCACAGCTAGGTGGTGCAGTGGATAGAGTACCAAACCTGGCATCAGGCAGACTCATCTCCCTGAGTTCAAATCTGCCCTCGGATACTTACTAGCTGTGTGACCCTGGGCAAGTCACTTAACCCTGGTTGCCTCAGTTTCCTCATCTGTAAAACGAGCTGGAGAAGGCAATGGCAAACCACTCCAGTATCTTTGCTCAGAAAATCCCAAATGAAGTTATGAAGACTCAGACACAACTGAAAAATGACCGAACAACAACAACAACATGAGTAATGTTAAAGAAAATGAAATGCAGAAAATCCAGGCTGTGAAAAGTTGAGAATAGAAACCAAGAACTACGTATCTGCTAACATAAATATATTTTATATTTGGGCAGGGGTGAGATATTTTATTTCCTTTAGAATCTTACTTAGAGTTGAAAGAGGTCAGTTTGAGACTAGGAAGACCCAGTCTTCTAGGGGAAAAAAGGCTGTCTCTGTGACATCTTTTGTCTAAAAGGCAGCTAGCTTTGTCACATGACCAGTAAGATGGAGAGCTAGATATTTTCCTCTACTCCTCATTAACTCTCAGAAACCTCAAAAGAAGAATTATGTTCCAGAGTTAGAACAATTACAACTGAATTCACAAGTCAAGAAAGAAATCAAGGTGCCATACAAGTAACAGCCTAATCTCTATCATTCATTCAGTACCCTTCTTTCCCCTTCCCACTGGCCTCCACCACTTAGAGAGCAGAAACCAACTCACACACTTCTGTGTTGGGACCTACTCAGGTATTTCTCTCCTGCAGCAGTATCTGCTGGCACACTGCCCTCATCCCCTCCCCTTCACGTGGGCATTGTTGCAAAAAGCAGCAGACTTCAACCCTGCCCAGCCCAGTCTAGAGAAGGAAAGGACTAAGAAGGGGATAGATACCATGATTTTCTTGGAGTAGCACCTTGGTTAAGGAATCCTATGGTGGCAGAAACTCTTTCAGAATACCTAGTCCATCCTCCTCCAAGCCTGAAAATAAGTGGCATATACTCAGCGGAGAACTAAAGATAGAAGGGATTGAACAGTGGGCCATGGTATGGGGCTGCAGTAGACCTGATAGAAAGGACACTGCCGCCTAACTGGAGCCAGGCCTTTCCTCCCAGAAGTGGCTTAGAGTGGGAACAAAGGCCGGTAGAAAGGGAATTCCTTACAGTGGGAGGAAGCTGAGACAACTTTAAGGTTCATCCCCAAAGGTAAACCCACTGTCAAAGAGGAAATGCAGCAAGGCAATATAAAGGGGAAAAACACTAAAAAAGAATCCGCCAAAGATCTCAAAAGGAAGAAACACAAAACAGTGTGGGTTCCCCAGATTATGTGGAACTACAAATGGAAGACATGTGATGGTTCAGTAGACACATCAAAACCTCGAGAGAAGGCGTTGAGGGAACAAATGGCAGAACTTATTAGAGGAGTAGAGAAACATGAATCCACAGTAGAGTCTCTCCAAAGAAGTGAAAGAGAGAACAACAGATTAGAAACACAAATCCAGAAATATAGTAAAGGAAATGTCTAATGGACAATTGGTAAGGTCAGGTTGAAGGTTGAGGGAGATAGTGTCAGTCAGTCATCAAGGATTTATTAAGTGCATGCTGTGTCCCAGGAGTGTTAGAAATCAGGCCTGCCCTCACATAGGTGATAGTCCAGTGGGAGACACAGCATGGAAATGACTCTGTGCAGACAGATATGTATACAGGGTAAATTGAGGGTACTAAAAAGAGGCAAATAATTAGCATTAAGGGGAATTGGGAAAGGCTTCTTGAAAAGGATGGAATTTTAGATAGAACTTGAAGGAAACGAAGGAAGCCATGATGGAGATAAAGGATAAGCATTCCAGGAATGGAGGACAGCCAGTGAAAATGCCCAGAGTTAGGAGACAGTGTCTTGTGTGAGACATGGCAAGAAGGCTAGTGTTACTGGGAATCATCTCCAGAAAGATGACAGTAAAATGCTTTGTGACCCTTAAAGCGCTGTAAGTGTGAGCTGTGATAACAGAGTTTTCCTTTATATTGAGCCAGCATGTACCTACCTGTCACTTCTCTTCATTGTCCCCAGCTCTGTGCTCAGCAGCAGTGAGAAGATCCCTTTTCTGTGTGAGAAGACATAAACCCAGCAATTACTCTTCCCGTTTACCGCCTCAGTCCCCAATTCACAGAGTGTTGTAGGTAGAAGGGAGTTTGGAGACCATCCGATCTAACCCATACCAGAAGCAAAGTGCCCCCTACAGCATGGCCAGCCAAGTCATTGACTTTTTCACGAAGATGCCCAGTGAGAGGAAAGCCACTTCTTCCCAAGGCAGCCTGTTCTGCTTTGGGAAAGTTCTAATTTTTAGGATATTTTTCCTTATATAGAAGCTAAAAATATCTCTTCACAGACTTCCTTTCACACATTGAAGTAGTGGTGGCTGACGTTTACATAGCATTGTAAAGTATCTAAAGTTTTTTACATGCATGATCTCATTTAAATCTCATAACAGGGCTGTGAAGTATAAGTGCTTCAGGTTTTCTTATCCCCATTTTACAGATGAGGAAACTAAGGACTAAAGTCTTTAAAACATGTTCAGAGCAGATTAAACATATCCACTGTAATAATATAATCATTATTTGTAAAGTGATTATCTTCATGATAAATGCAAAGGTAAAAACTTCCACTGGTATCATCGTAAATTTTAAATTATTTAAGCCCAAATTGAGATTTTAATGTACTTTTATAAGTGCTCTGTATATGAATATTTGAAAAAATGTGCATTTGCCCCTTTAAAAAGGGCTCTTCAGTTGCTCAGGTTAAGTAATAAAATACTACTTTTAAAAATATTCATCTTCAGTGCCTCAGCTCCTATCTTTAATTCCTGGAAACAACATTTTTTTGGTATAGCTTACAAATATGTATTACTATTGTGTCTTTTAAAGAATAATTACATTTAAATAACTTAGACTAAATGTACTTTGTACTGTTGTATTTTAGATGACTATTTTGACTCTTTTCTTATAATATTTTTGTTTCCTATTTCAGATGGCAAGATTATTTTACCATAAACCCCAGTTTGCCATTTTAGATGAATGTACTAGTGCTGTTAGTGTTGATGTAGAAGGCTACATTTACAGTCATTGCCGGAAGGTAAGAGTCAGAGGATTCTTTTTTTTAAATTTTGAGTTCCAAATTCTCTCCCTCCTCCCTACCCTTCTGTTACCCCTTGAGAAGGAAAAAAAGAAACATAAAGTCAAAAAGGGGGCACTTCAATCTGCACTCATTGGTTATTAATTCTCTCGCTGGAGGTGGATAGTATTTTTCGTTATGGGTCCTTTGGAATTGTCTTGGATCATTGTGTGAACAGAGTAGATAAGTTTTTCATAGTTAAATATTGGTACGATATTGTTATATATACAGTGTTCTGGTTCTGCTCACTTCACTTTGCATCAGTTCATGTAAGACTTCCCATGTCTTTGTAAAACTAGCCTGCTCTTCATTTCTTATAGCACAGTAGTATTCTATCACATACCATAACTTGTTCAGCCATTCCCCAATTGATGCGTATCCCCTCAATTTCCAATTCTTTGCTACCACAAAAAGAACTTCAGTAAATATTTTTGTGCATAGTTCCTTATCTCTTTTCTTCGATCTCTTTGGAATACAGACCTAGTAGTGGTATTGCTGGGTAAAAGGGTATGCACAGTTTGAAAGCCCTTTGGGCGTAGCTCCAAAAGATTCTCCAGAGTGGCTGGATCAGTTCACAGCTCTAGTGGTAGTACATTAGAGCCCATATTATTCCATATTCCTTCTAGCATTTCTTATTTTCTTTTTCTGTCATGTTAGCCAGTCTCATAGGTGTGAGGTGGCATCTCAGAGTTGTTTTAATTTGCATTTTTCTGATCAGTAGTGATTTAGAGCATTTTTTCATGTGATAATAGATAGCTTTGATTTCTTCTGAAAACTGCCTATTTATATCCTTTGATCACTTATCAACTCGAGAATGGCTCTTATTTTTATAAACTTGGCTCAGTTCCCTATATATTTGAGAAATGAGTCCTTTATCAGAGAAATTTGCTATAGAACTTTTCCCCCAGTAGCCTCATTTCTTTCTGATTTTGGCTGCAATAGTTTTCTTTGTGCAAACCCTTAATTTCATGTAATCAAAATTATCCATTTTACTTCCCATGATCCCCTCTATCTCATGTTTGGTCATAAACTCTTCCCTAATGCATAGATATGACAGGTAAAATTTTCCACGTTCCCCTGTCTTACTTGTGATATTATCCTTTATGTCTAAATGATTTATCCATTTCATTCTTATCTTGGTATACAGTGTGTGATGTTGATCTGTGTCTAGTTTCTGCCAAACTGCCTTCCAATTTTCCCAGCAGTTTTTGTCAAATAGTGACTTTTTACTCCCAAAGGTTGGGTTTGTCACACAATAGATTTTCTGTGATCATTTATTACTATCTACATAATCTATTTACAAGATTATTTTCATGATCACCACTTTGTAATATAGTTTGAAATCTGGTACTGCTAGGGCTTCCTTCCGTCACATTTTTTTTTCATCAGTTCCCTTGATGTTCTTGATCTTTTGTTGTTTCAGATAAATTATGTGATATTTTTTAGAGCTCTATATAGCGGTAATAGCTTTCATACTCATTTGTATATTATTACACTGAACTGAGAAATCTAATCAGATGTATTTTCAAACCTAATGATAAGGCTTGATCAGTAGCAGAAATTTCTATTGATGAAAATAGCTATCAAAATATCTAAACAAAATAACTGGTTTCGAAGTTTACTTTTCAGGGAAAGTAATTTATTGGATCTTCTGAAATGTGATTGAAAGAACTTAGTGCACTTAGTAGATTAAGACCTGACACTTTAGGACTTCTTATCTGATCTTAGATTTTATCTGTACCACCTGAAGCTTTCTTCACTTTTAGCCAACAGTCCGAGAAGTATAGTGGACTGAGAAGAGCGTGGGATTGTGTGTACATCTGAAGACTTAAGTTCAAGTCCTGGCTCCAGCCCTTACTGGCTCTGTGACTTGGAATAAATCACTTTACTTCCCTGGTCCTGTTTTCTCATTTGTTAAATGGGAGTAATAGTGTTTGTGTCACTTAATCACAAGATTCTTTTGAGGAAAGAATTTTATAAATCATGAAGACCTACATCAGTATGAATGTTGGTAATTATTGCAGTGGCTATGTTGTCATTACAACAGTGGAACTGGAAAGAGATCTAGAAGTTGTCTGATCCAGGGATGGGGAACCTGCAGCCTCTATGCCACATGTGGCCCTCTAGGACCTCAAGTGTGGCCCTTTGAATCCAGACTTCACAGAACAAAGCCCCTTAATAAAAGGATTTGTTCTGTCAAACTTGAACTCAGTCAGAAGGCCACACCCAAGGATCTCCACATCACACATTTAGTGGCAGAACTGTCATTAGAATTTAGGGCTTACACTTTAAAAATTCAGACTCTGTGCTGATGCTAGTTTATTAATGAAGTTGTATCATTTTTAAATACATAAATTATTTTTCTTGATTTTAGGTTGGTATCACTCTTTTCACTGTATCTCATAGAAAATCCCTCTGGAAACACCATGAGGTTCGTATTTTTTGTTTTTAGCTCGCCTTGAAATTTTATTGTTTCCAAATAAAAATGGTTTCAGATATTTTGAGTTATTTCATCTTTCTCATTCTTTTAATATGTTCTATAAAATTCCTTGGAAAATGGTCATTTTGTTAATATTTATTAAATGCTGTGAATTTTTTTTAGTGATCTTGTGTTTTTAAAAACACAGTTACCCAAAAGATATGTACAATCCCAAATTACTTTCTTTGTGGAAACTTAGAGTTCATATTATGTGTAAGTCACTGTGCTAGGAGATGGGGGTATCATGACAAAAATGAAACAGCTCCTCTCCTCAAGGAACTTGTATCCTATTGGAGGTGTAGAACCCCACAACAGACTAGTGTGAAGTTTATATGAAGCTATAAATGGATTTTTTGTAATTTCTAATTTAATAGTGATTCTAACGCCTATAGGAATGTGGCTAAATACAGCCCTTCTTATTATCTGGTTTTGAGAAAAGAGATGGACTATTAAATAGGAATTTGGGGAAGGTTTTGTTTTCATAGTTATGAAAAGATGTTGATTGCTGTCTCCTGCTTTTTTTCATTGCACTGTAAAAAGTTTCTGAGTAGAATGATTAAAGTGTGATCTTTATTGTATAAAGTTATGTAATATTGTAGTGAGGTCAGCATGTTGTGTTTCATTTGTCTCTGTGCTAGAGTGAAGTCGTTGGTATGTTAGAGTAGAGCATCAGTGGTCCCTGTCGCCAGAAATGCACCTGAAACTCTAAAAAAGTTAATTAATTTGAATTCACTTATATTTTAAGATTAATTTATGTTACATATTACTTTTAGGATAAGAGGGAGCTATGGAAAAATGAAACAATTATTGAGCACTTGATAGGAGCAGGTCTCCTGCATTAACTGTGAAAGACACAAAGAAATATATCATCTACCTGGCAAGATAAGATGCATAAATGTGAAAAATTAACTAAAAATTACTTCAGAAATATTGGAAATAATTGCTGAATGTCCCTAGTTTAGACCTTTAAAGAGAGAAAGCCTCAAAGTGTTCTTTTTGAAGTTATTGGTACTGGAATACAGTTATCTTGGCCTAATTAAGCTAAAGATTAGCTTTTAAAAATAATTTCTAATACATATGGATTTTATAAAGCCTATTTTTTCTTGAATAGAGATAACTGTTCAAGTCAAAGTTTCTGTAAAATATACCCAAACATTTGTGTATATCTACAGCTTATAAATATTCTAAGCAATTAAAAACTTTCTTAAATTTTTTTTTCTTGGTTTAGAAAAAGCATAAGTAAGTTGTATTTAGGCACTCTGAATAAATAATGAAATAATTGAAAGGCAAGGCAGAAGAGCATGCAGGAGTCTGAAAAATTAAAATCTCACTAAACATGGGATTATAAAAAATAAAAAAAGAGAGAGACTGCTATTCCAACAGGTTCTGCTATTTACCAGTCATTTTTATTTCATCCTTGAAGAATTTCTTATATTCCTTCAAGAAACACTGTTAACTTGCCTAAGAGAAATGTGTTCCTCCAGCCCTTTTAGTTTCTCCTCTAGTAATCTATCATTTTGTATTTTCATAGATATTATATAGTATTAGCAGAAGTAAACAATATATTCTTCAAATTATAAGAAACATCTCCTTGTCCTCCATACTACTTTTGCTGCCTTCGTAGCCCTTGTTTTGGCCAGCTCTGTAGCAGATATTTAAACACTGAAGACAGAAATATGCTCTCTGACTCCTTTGTGATACCTTGCCACTACTACTGAGAACCTTTACTTTCTTGGAGGCTCATCTTATATGGTGAGGTTTTATTAAACAGAGAAGATCTTTTTTTAAACTATCTTCAGGATAAAGCAGCAGTTGAGTTCAGTTTAAAAGTTTTTTCCCTTTTCAGTGCATTCTGTTTTTCTCGGTATAGACTTGACTTGTAGAATCATCTGCACTAAAAGTTTGAGTTGTAGTGGCATGAAATATGCAAAATTTTTAATGTAATAAGTAAAAGCTTGCTGATACTAGGTAGACTTTATCCTAGTTAATGCATTTTCCTTCTTTCTTACAGTATTATCTGCAAATGGATGGGAGAGGCAATTATGAGTTCAAGCAGATAACTGAAGACACAGTTGAGTTTGGCTCGTAAAATTTGAAGAATTAGAGCTGCTTTCTTGAAATAGGTTCAGAGCACCCATGGAAATACAAAGTACCTTGTAAAATAAAGTTATTAAGCTTGTTTAAAAACAATTAACTCTAGGTATAGAATAATCCAAAACAAGCGATTAAAAAACATTTAATATTATGTAGGATATTGCTAATTGTGTATATGTTGGTTTAATTGTTAATATGTACTAAGAATGTCCTTATTCTTGTGGTTAAAAACCTGCCTGAATTAAATTGGGCTTAAATCAGTGTAACCTGATTCATCCTGGGATGTAAACCATTTGAAGTCAGCTAATTTGACTTTTGTGGACCTTCCTTTTCCTTCAGTGAAGAGCCCTATTTAAAATTGGGGTCATCACCTGTCCTGTTCTAACAAGACAGTCCTGGGTTTTCTTTGCTATCCCAAGGTACTGGGGAACACACAAAAAAATCATAGTGTATTATGAAAATCTTTCACACCATCACATGATCGCAGTTAGTTGCACAGTGACAGATTTCTTTAGCTGCCACATTTACACTCATTCCTCGTGTCTCAGAGGGCTTTTGACTCCATGAAAGCTTCTCTGACCTCTCCTCTTCTAAATAGCAAATGTGCCCCATCCTTTTACAGTGTTGGATTAGTTTGGGAGTTATTTTTGGAGATGTAGTGACAACATCCACTTTGTCTTGCTTACAAGGGTGGTTATTATCTGCCTTACCTTCTCAGTGTTTGGGAAGGTCTTTAGAAATCAAGTTCTACTGTTCAAGAGATTTTTTTTTAATTTTTTTAAAGAGTTGGACACATTTCTGTATCCTAGTAGACCATTCCTTAGAAGTCTGGTGGTTCTGTAGTGTTAACATCTAAGGTATCCTAGGAATGCCCTGTGTGAGGGTATTGCACTAATTGGCAATGTGGTCTCTCATTCTCTTACCATGATTTCATGTTTTTAAAAAAATGGTCTTTTACCAAAACAATGTGCACGTGGGAGAAATCATCTGCGTCCTAGGGTCTAGTTTACCTGTGTGGATTCTGAATGCCCTTTTATTATATTTGGATCATTATGTTAATTACTCTATGCTGATGTAGAAGTTGATTGCCCCTCAGATATTGTTTCTGCAAACCCGCCCTTAAATTACATTTATTAATTTACGCAATGAGAACTTCAACTAGCATAATCGGTATAATTAGCATAATCAATTTTATCCAAACTGGGCCTCAGAAAGGCGCTTTTTGTATTCTTGTCCCAGCATAATTCTGCGGATCATTGGCTACTAAAGTGAAACTTGGATGTACTCATTTCATGAGATATAACAATATTTTTACCACTTCTCTTAGAAAAAGTATCTACTTCTCATTTATTTTCTGTTCAAATTAAAAAAAAATCAGATCTCATACAATGACTTTTGTTTGTCCTTTTCACTTTTGATTTGTAATAAGTGTGTTAAATACTGTGTGGTTTATATAGTGGTGATTTAAATAGCACCCAGAGAATAATATAAGTAATCATATGCTCCCCAAAAGGCTTACTAAAAACTGGTGGTTTTCGGTTGAGTATATTTCAAGTACTCTTCCTATATATCTCTGAATCTAGAGTTGCATTTCTTTTTCTTTTTTTTTTCTTGGTGAGGCAGTTGGGTTAAGTGACTTGCCCAGAGTCACACAGCTAGTGAGTGTTATGTGTCTGAGTTTACATTTGAATTCAGGACCTCCTGACTCCAAGGGCCATTGCTCTATCCACTGCGCCACCTAGCGGCCGCTAGAGTCATATTTCTTAAAGATGTTCCTGGTATTGAGGAATTCCTACACATGAAGTTTTACTTTTACATATTAATAAGTCCTTGAAGTGTCTTAGTGTGATAATAAACTAAGGTTAGGAAATATCTCTGTTGCTGACAGTAGACTCCTGCTACAAAGAAATAGCTGATTTCTTTTTTCATTTCAATTGGATTCTTTATTAGCTCCTCTTTTATTAGCTAGGGTACACCCAACTATGCTGTATGCTTTGAGAAATGCTCAAAAGTATAAGAAAAGGTTCCAGCTCCTTGGAAGCTTAGTTTATTCAGTGTTTAGCATTGTTTACATTATTCCAATTCATATCATTTATTTAGTGTTTTTCTCTACAATAATACCTTTGCGAGGAGCTCCTGTAGTTTATGAATTGTAGAGGTAGAGATAAATGACTTTATGTCATAATATAGAAATAGTGCAGCCATTTACACAGTGAAGGTTTATAGATTTTTATACAATTCTGTGCAAATTGATTTTCAAAAACTTGACTTCAAGAATAAAGCCTGTTCATGTGTATTTCTGGGTCCTGATATAACCTCATGCTGATGGTATACTTTGTTCCCAGGGAAGATGCTGATTTGGCCAAGTATAGAATATGGTGTTTCAAGGGGAATGACCTTTGGGACTGCTCTTTCACTGACAGACTGTGGGTGGCTTTCAGCCACTCCTGTCTCAGTGAAATAAAGCCGCTTCGGAAGGTCCTTGTGCATCTCTAAACTCTAAGCTATGAGTATAATGGAAACATTCTATAAATGGCAAGAGAAATTGGACTACATTCTCTTCTCACGGCTGATACAACTTCACTTTGGCTCATCACACAACAACATTTATCTTCTCACTACATGAATCATTTATCCTTTGGCACACAATCTGTGTAGGGCCTACCTACTTACCCAGCCTATGTAAGATGCCAGCAGATGAAGTCTGATATTAGTGCCAAGTTCTAGTCCAAGAACTTGATGCTGGAAGTGAGAAACAAAGATCTCATAGGTTAAGAAGTAAAGCCAAAAGAAGAGTTACTCCATCTATAGGACAGAACCTCAGTCAAAAACAATGTCCTGGCCACAAGGACCTTAAGAATAGCTAGAAGCAATGAAGCAAGGTAGCCTTTTATTATTGTCATCTCTGCACGCGCGCGCACACACACACACACACACACACACACACATTCTTTCCCTTTATTCACAACTTCTGCCTGCCACAGGAGCATGAAACAAGGCCTGTCTGGTCGGCAGCCCAAAAGAAAAAGATGACAGTTACATAGCAGTATCACATTCAGTGCCATTATTTGGGGAAATTAACAGTGACATGGGGAACTGCTGTATTGACAGATGCTTATTCTGTTTGGCAGTAACTGCCCCACAGATGAGGCTGTTCCTTTAGTCTGAGGAAATTGATGTTGATAAAGCCAGTGGCATCAGAGGGCTCAATCACCCTTTATGATCACCAGCTCTTCGTTGTACAGTGACTGGGGGCAATCCCAGCCCAAGACATACATCTGACTCGTGAAGGCTGAAACCCGGACCTTTCCCTCACCTCCTGCCTAGGATTTGGCAGTGAAGTGGCCGATGAACACACCCTCAGGGCTGTGCTAGAAACAAACTGTTGTACATCAATTCAGAGAATTCCAAGCTTAGGCCCTGTGTGATTTCGCACACTTCCCAATTCATTGTGAAAGCTTCAATTTCTAAATGACTGTATTTAGTCATTATCGCTGGGTCTTGTAGATACCTCTGGACTTTATCCTAATGAAGTGATTCTTCACAATATCTATTTGGCCAACCCTGTTTTCCTGCAATTTCATTCAGGTAGGGGAAGAGCTCCAGGGAAGTAGAGTGGGATGTGCTGTCTTTGACACTGGACACCTGCATGAGATATTCCACGTTGCTTGGCATACCACATCAGGTCATTGCATCTTTTGAACCTATTATAACATTCAGGCATCCTCCAAGAGTGACAATTTTAATCTGAGAGACCAAGGAGAAACAGGTAAGTTTAAACCACATGTGGTCATTCCACTTCCCTGTAGCTCCATGGGACTCATGATTGGTTCCTTCTCAGTGCAGTTTCTGACGGTTTGTGGACAGTGCAGGATCTGTCAAAGGAGGTGTCCAGGAGTTAGAGATCCTTACACAGGGCACTGAATTAGCTGGGCAGATGAACTCCACAGATTCCTTACTGACATCTTTCCCCCCCCCAGCTTCAGTGCCTTTCTCCTGGCCTCTTCAAAGTCCTCCTGTCCACTGTTGGCTAGGTAAGCAATAACCTCACGACTTTGCTCCTGTGGCCACATCAGGATTACAGGATGTGTGCAGGCTTCTGCTGTAACCAAGAGCCACAGTACAGCCTGACACCACACTTGGCGAGTATAGAAACAGGACTGGCAGTAGAGGTGTGGAGGTGGAGGCTGGACCCAGTCAACCAGGAGTTGTGTGTTGTTTTTTTTTTTTTGATGGCATTAGAACGGAAATAACTCTGAAGGGGAAAAAAATGGAAGGAAAGTAAATAGAAGGTAGAAAACCTTACCCAAATAGAGGACTCCCTAGAAAGTAGAAAGAGGCAAATAAAAGAGTGACTCAAATCAAAGATTAAAAGAACATAAGAAAATATCTACCATCAAAAACAAACTAGTATGAAAAACAAGTCAACCAGTGGACTCTGAAAACCATCACTAAAAAACAACCTGTACATTATATGTTTTTAAAACATATGTGGTATAGAAATATGTAAGGAGAGGGAAAAAGGAAAGAGGCCAAAGTAAATGAAAGAGGCTCAGGAGTACTAGATCTCATAATTTAATACAAAGCAATAATGTTCAAAATATCTGGTGCTGGTTAAAAAAGAGAGAAGTTGATCAGTGTACCAGATGGGTGCGCAAGACCAGAAGCAATCGGAGATGATAGTATACTGTTCACTGAACCCAGTGTCTTGGCCAATCATAATTTTAGGGAAATGTGCTGAGGCCAACTCATGCTAATTCCAGAGAGAGCCAGTTGTTAAATTTTCAGTATGAACATTTATTTCTTGTCGTTCAGTCATATCTGACTCTTTGTGACCCCATTTGGGGTTTTCTTGGCAAAGACACTGGAGTGGTTTGCCATTTCGTTCTCCAACTTGTGTTGCAGATGAGGAAACTGAGGCAAACAGGCTTAAGTGGCATGGACAGAGGCATGGACAGAGTCACAGCTAGTGTCAGGTGTTATTCGAGGAGCAGTGCTCTATCCACTGTGCCACCTAGCTGCCCATGAACATATATACCTCAGAAACGGGCAAACCTTACAAATGAAGGCTTGGTTTAATGTTTTGTTGAGTGTCTAGCCCAGGGGTGGGGTTCCTGTGGCCTGGAGGCCCTCTAGGTCCTCAAGGGCGGG